CTTCCTGGCCCTCAACACATTCAATTATAAAACACAAATGGAAATGAAAATTTAACCTTCACGTCATAAACATAAAACAACAGACTGTGCTCACAGAGGACTTTTCAGTGTCTCAGGCTTAGCGATGCTGATCTTTCTCCTACACTTGCTGCCTCTTGCCAGCTTCTCCTCACATTCCGCAGTCCACAGCCTTCTCACCTTCCACTCAGTTCCCAGAACAAGCCCACTGACCTCGCTGGTAAATCTGGGCCATTTGTTACTTTCCTTTAATTTTTATCCATTAAAATGAATGTATACACATAGTGCAGAGTTAACTGTTGCCTCTGAGTTCTACAAAAATCTAAACGGAACTAAGTGAGGTTGCAGAATTTCTAAGAGACAGGACTAGCTACGGATGAAACGTAAGATGCATCCTGAAAAGGTTTTTCTCAAGAGCTGAACTTGGCCTAGGTACCACTTCCAGGTCAGCCCGAGCTCGGAGCTACCCAGAAGCTGATTCCGTCATTTCCTAACTTTGTTTCTTAATCTGCAATACAGAGAGCGTATACACGATACACAGGTTTGCTTTGTATTTGGAAGGGCCAAATGAGATGCACAACCCATGAGACCACGTTGTAAAGCACTAAGAATTATGCTTCCCTTTTTTTCTTAGTTTCCCCTTTTTATTAGTACATGGGTGCATTATGTTACCCCTCTCATTTTTGGGTAAAATCAGAGGGTCACTTTACACCATCAAGCGGAGTACAGGTTTTCAAAAGTCCTTAGACGCTTTGCACTGAAAGTTATAATTCCTATATTTCTTCATTCTTTAATGATTTTTAATATTCTGAAAAGTTACAAAGGCGTGTTGATCATGAGGCTTTATTAGAATAACAAACTAAGAGCCCAATAAAGGAAAAAAGAAGACCCAAAAGACATTTCATGTGTAGTAATGAAAGAAACGGTGCCATCTGGGACAGTTTCTGATACAATGTTTTCCACTTCACAGGATTTAGTGTCACCCCGTAAGCCCAAGTCTTGGGGAGGAGCTAAGAGGATTCCAAGTCGAAGCCCCGTCTGGGAAATGCAGTGATGGGGCAAGACCCTGCCTCAAAATACATTTCTTAAAAAAAG